GACATTCGGCACGTTCGAACGTTCGGCTTTCTAACTTCGACCTTCCTCTCGGATCGGAAGTTCCGATCGATGCTTCGGCTCCGTCTTGTTTCGTCGCGGCGTACACGGGTCGTCAACGATCAAGTCCGAGCTTCTTCTTTTCTCTTCCTCCTCCGGCGATCTAGGATCGTTCTCCGACGGCAATTAAGGCCGTTGGCTCTGATACCATGTTAAAACAGAGAATTTGAGAGGGAAAAGCTTGTTTTATTCATTACAATCTTCCCTATTTATAGATCTATACAAGATGTCGTAATAATAAATTGCAGATTTAATACACAAATAAGAAAATAAAATCTTTCCTAAATTCGTTCCCTTATTATGGCGTGATCCATGAGAGTATCCCACGGATTGATCTTTGTGTCCGTCGGATCCTTTGTACTAGGAACGGCTGGATTTCAACACAAACAAATATGTGTATATTTGTGTAGTTAACCAGTTCTACAACATTGCCAACTTGCAACACATAAAGATTACTAACATCTCACACATAGCTTGTCTATTCCCCGTGGCATTATTCACTTTCATGGGCTTCCAACACCCATTTGAGCATTTCTTGCACACTTCGTAAAACTTTTTAAAATATATAATAAAATTTTCATCTGTTATCCATCTACAAATAGATGGATAAACAAAAAAGGTTAATCTGTAATTTAGAAAAAAATTTACATTGTTTAGGATGTTAAAATTTAGGCAAGTGTGACTTAATTCTATCCATTAAAGAATTTTCCTATATACTGCACCAAATAGCCTGTAGGTAAACATTCCTTTGAAATTGCTTATATTAAAAGGCATTGTAATCCCATTGATTTCATCTTTTTAACCTACCTATTAGACCTGTCAATATTGGACCCGACCCGAAAATCCGATCCGAACCCGACCCGAAAATTTCGGGTTTGGGTTGACCCGAACCCGAAGCGGGTCGGGTTCGGGTTGACCCGGAAACCCGAGAATGACCCGAATTGACCCGGAATAACACATAAACCAGGATGCCCCACGACCGCCTGCACGCATGCGTCGCTCGCGCACTCGAGCGCACCTCGCGTCGTGCACTCGAGCGCTCCCCACGTCGTGCACTCGCGCCACCCCGCTACCCCTTTGTCGTGCGCGACCACTGCCCCGTTGCCGCGCGCGACCGCTGCCCGCGTCGTGCACTCGCGCCACCCCGCTACCGCAGCCACGCGTGACCACTGCCCACGTCGCGCACTCGCGCCATCACCACATCGAGCCGCAAACTCCCGCAGCGTGTCCCGTGGTCCCGCAGCGTTCCCGCGTGTGACTCGCTGCCCGCGCGTGATTTGGCAAAATTTTTGAATGCAGGCGCGGGCCGGCGGGATTCAGCTGAAATAGGTGGGGTCGGGTTGACCCGAACCTGAAGCGGGTCGGGTTCGGGTTCAGAAAACCGACCCGTTTGCAAAAACGGGTCGGGTTAGGGTTGACCTGATTAATGCCGGGTCAGTTCCGGGTTCGACCCGAACCCGACCCGTGACCCGAAATTGACACCTCTACTACCTATCATGTTATTTCTTCATCTATAAGTTTGTTGAACATACATATAAATTGTATGATAATATCAAAGAAGATTTTCATTTACCTTCTTCATATTTTGTTTAATGGCTAAGAAGATCTTTAATAAGAGGGTATTTGTACTCGAACAAGCATTGTATTAATGTTAAATAAATTGTAAGTTCCCCATACGATATCTTTCTCTTTGCTTCATCTCTTTCTCTAATCTTATCACAAGTGAAATCCCATTCTTCCCCTGTTTTCATCTATGCGGTTGCAGCACTTAATCATTTTAGACTTTTCTTGAATATAAATAGGAGTTAGAATCTAAATCATTCATTATTATCTTCTTAGAATTAGTCTTTAAATATAGCCTATTTTATACCCACTAATGGAATTCAATAAAAAAAGGCTCCATTCCTCCCAAATTATCTCTCTCCAACCTTATTGTTGGCTCCCATTTTTTTCACATCCTCTCTAGCAAAGCATTCTCTCTCCTCTTTTTCTATCTCTATGAAAATGATCAAGGAAAATCCATCAAGAGCAAAGTAAGAAGAAGCAATCCATTCCATGAAGAGGAGGATCATCACAGATGATGTGAAACAAACAATGGAATTGCAAGATTTTAATAAGAAACTTATTTTAGCAATGAAATTAAAGGATTAATGTTTCACTAAGTTAAGACTTTCAGTTTTTGTGGTTATTGACTTGCTTCAAGCATGCGGTTACACGTTAGATTAACAGGATGATCCGAAATAAGACAAGATAGTAGTAAACAAATATGCGATTAATGATAATTTGGCACTTAACAAATAGAACTTTCACCTTAGAGTTTTCCTCGCGCTTGCTCTTTCGAAGTAGGGTTAGCAGAGGACGAATGTCAGCAAGCCAAGTGATGCCACTAAAAGATAAAGGACGCCGGCGGTTTTGATCAACGGGAAGTTGGCCCGAGTTGGAGAGACGGGTGGTCGTCCGGTGATCTTCCACTGTCCTATAGGTTGTTGCTCGTCGATGACGTCCACCAAAGTAAAGAAAATGCGCTCCATGTATTCTTTGACAGTGCCTTCGGATCCAAATCCAAGATCGAAGAAGGGTGATTGAATGATGTCGATGTCCCCTTGAGAATTATAAACAAATCCGTGGTAGACTCAAGAGTCTGCCATCCATGAGCTTGAGAGTATCTGTGTGGTGTTTCCTTGGTGGGGGCCGCCGATTAGAAGAGGTTGAGAGGGGCAGCGGATAGTGGTAGGTGGCGGGTAAGGAGGAGAGGAGAGAGAAGGGGGCAAGTAGAGCTTGGGTTTGAATTTGGAAAAGGGATTCTTAGAAACTCTGAAATTAATTCAGATTTTCCTAAGAGGGGAGGTAGGGAATAATTTGACTTTCAAATTATTCCTCAATGGGTCCCCTCTTAGGAGGGGATTAGGGAAGCTTTAATGGAGACTATGATTTAAATAGGAGAGAGAGAGAGGATTATGAAGAGGGGTCGGTCATATAGAGAGATAGGAGAGATGTTAGTATCTTAAGTATGTGGGCCCCAAGGAATAAATAAAGATTTGAAACAAATCTGAATTTAATTTCAAATTTGTTTAAATTAGGGAGGTTTCCTAATTTTGCTTTTAGCCTTGGAAAAATATTTGAATTCAATTAATTAATTGAATTCCAATTAGGAAGCTTTCCTACTTAACCAAAATCTATTTTAAGAAAGTAAACAATGGGTATTTGAAATTTGAATTTCAAATTTAGGAGCAATGGGAGGGGCCAGCAGTTAGGCTTATGGAGAGGGACGGGTGGAGGGGTGGAGGCCAGCGACTGGGTGGGTGGTGGCCGATGGTTGGGGTGGCTAAGGAAGGCCGGCGGCGTTGGGAGGGGGGTTCGATTCAAGGAGGGGATGGAGCAACAGGGAGAGTAAGCCAGCGGGTGGTTGGGGATGGGGTTGGTGTTTAAGTATAAGGAAAAGAAGAATTTGAAGAACCGCGAACCTCGGAATCCTCTAAGGTTGACGGGTATTGCTTTCACCCTTACTTAGGGTTTCTCCTCTCAAAAACTCATAAAGAGATCAAGCAAGAAAAGTGGAATTATCATTCATAATCATCATTAGAAAATAATACAATGACTAGGCCTTAATATATAGTCCTCCAAAAGCAAAAATGTAAAAGACACATATACCCTCAAGCTACAACATGAAACAAATCCCTCATAGAGGTACAAGTGGAAAACTGAAAAGTAAATAAAAGAAATATACTAAAACATCATAAATATAGACTATGAATCGTAGTCGTCGATCTACGATTCCTCCGATGATAAGTACGTCAAAATCTCTTGTGCATGTCCTCATTAACGGAAGTATATCCCCAGTTAAAGGTATGATTGTAATTCTATCACTTATCACTTTACCCACTCTTAGCTTCCTTTTGCATTCACAAAGCACTCGCCCCTCTCTTAGTCTAAATGGACAACCCTTCAAAGAATGGTCAAAACCCTCGGCTTGATTCTTAATAAACTGTCATATAACTCAATTCCACATCTTCGATGAGGTAACTCTTCACAAAATTATCCAAAAGCACAGCCAACAGATCTACAACATCCTCTTGATTTAATTCTAAACCTAGCACTTATATAATTGATCATATTAATCATTAAAAAGTTAGCAACCTAAATCCTAAACCAAATTCTACACCTAGCACTTATATAATTTATCATTATTAATCATCAAAAAGTTAGCAATGTAAATCATACAACAACAACATTAAGCCTTTATCTCACTACATGAGGTCGGCTAAATGAATTCTTTTTCTCCATTGTGTCTTATTAAGAGTAAAATTCTCATTTAAATCTAATAAATAAATGTTATTTCTAATACTTTCCAATGTAAATCATAACCAGTATAAATTGGAATGGCAAAGCAAGAGAAACATCATATTGGAAAGAGTGCACATCAATTAGATGAAATAGTCCATAAATCTAATAGTAATAATTATAGGTTCAAAAATTAATGTTTCCAGATCCTTCCAGAGGAATGATAAAAAAAAAAGATTGGAACGCCATGAAGAGAAAAACTTGGGCAATGCCATGAGAAATGAGAAAGGCAAAGAATATCAAAAAGTGGAAAAGATCAGCAAGATTCTCATAAATCCACCATGATTTTATCTTTAATATGAATTTCCATAAGGTTTGACATCAAAATAGTTGGAAAGGTTTCAGGACGCTATTTGGGATTTGCTATACTGAGACATATTTCAAATTCCTATAAATTCAACTTTAGCTGAAGATTTCTTCAAAAGTAATGCTGAAACAATATCCTCTGATCCTCTATTTTATTCCTTAGCCACAACATGCAAAAGAAAAATTAAGTATTTAAATCATAAGCCATGAGCAAAAAGATAGAAGTTTCATAAACTTTTATTAGAGAAAAAAAAAAAAGATGAATACGAAGTCATATCATCAGAAGAGTTGGATACCGCTAATCTAGCAACTTTAGCTAGCTTCTGTTTTACTTCTTGTGGCAATCTCCTTTTAACACCTTGGGCAGAAGGATCAACTTCTTGAACTTGAGCGTCTGGTGATCTTGCTGTTAAATGAATTGCTTGTTAATGGAAAAGTCCTTCAGCTTCAAAACATTGCATCACAATCAAAATGGAATACATAAATATGTTACAAAATAGAAACTTACACAATTCAACGAACTTCTCCAGGTCACGAATAGCTCGCTCAATTGTAGTACCCTTGGGTCTTATAGTGCCTTCCCTGGCTCGGTGGGCCAATGGATGCTTCAAAAATTTAAACATGGATTAAGGACTATAAAAATAGGTAACACCGTAGTTAAGATAGAGGGACACTCAGATTAAATAGAACAAGCAATTAGACAATTGCTTATACATCACAGTAAACTAAACCCTATCATACAATAGAAATTAAGAGATAAAGCTTGTATCTAATGGTAAAAAGTTATACAAAAAAAGCTTTCTATGGACTCAAGCACCATGTTTTCTAGAGTTACAACCATGAAAATCATGTTAACGTATGAATATTTAGTTTCAGGATGAATGAATATCTTAACTTCGCAATGAATGTTTGGTTTCGAAGGGCAATTAACTTGCAGCATTTACTAAAATAGGACAAATTTTCAGCAAATTTGATAAATGATACTCCTAGAGCAGCGTGCAGCATCATTGATAGCAAGTTCACTCTACAGTAGCTTCCAAACCAATTTTATCATCCGAACTGTATTAGCACAACTGATGTAGAACGGGTAGGAGGTTTTCAGTCCTACAGGTCTTGAAGAGCAACTCGTGAAGTTTTAACAGCAGCTTTTGACACTTGGGAAATTCTGGACAGCAAGTAGCCAACATGGGATAGCGATTCGGATTGGCATGGACGATTGAATGTCCGCATCAACAACTGAGGAACCTAAAAATATTTTTCTCAACTATGTGAAAACGTGTTACAGCCAAAGCAACACCCACTAAGATACCTACTTCCATGACATGTTCAACCAGTAAGCAAAATCTTTAAACGCAGCCACAATATATAAGCAAAAAAGAAAAATAGAAACTAAGATATTAACAAAGAATGTTTCTGAAGCTGATCATACGGTTCCAAAACATAAATGCAAATCAAAATAGTAAGAAACTCACACTAACGTTATAGTACAATGATATTACCTGCATTAATAGAAAATTAAAATTAGACTTCTTTATTCAAAACTCAAATAGAAGCCATAATACACACTAGCATAACACTCCTCAACATTGATGTTCAAACATCATAAACATTCCCTTTGACATTCTATTCTTCATATGTATAATAAAAAGGAACTAAATGAGAGCATTAGTAAGAATCTCTATGCTCAAATCTTTCAAATATTATCCTAAAATATACTCAATTTTGAGTAACAACATTAAATCACAACTCTTCTATATGCTAAGGGCCCTAGGTAATGTACATCAAAATTTGAAAACATTATTGACAAAATATAGATTGCTCAGCAAATAACGTGTTCTTGAAGGTGAAAACTAGGTTTAATCTCCTAATATGAAATTGTTGGTAATGTCAGATTGAAAATTCTTCAAATGACATTCCCTGAAATGGATCAAACATCCAGAAATCCTTCAAAAATAAGTCTAAAACTTTGTAATAACAGTGACATAAACTTATGCAAGTTAAAAATATGTACAAAGATCATGTCAATGAATTTAATTGCAATCTAAATTTAACATAACTATCTTCAAGGCATCTTCTGAGGGTCTTTTTTTCATTGTTTTTAAGCACAAATATAATATGGATCAGCAACAGATAGAATATAGTGTTAGTAGTTTTAAAAATATAAAATTGTATATGTAGGTAACATGAATAAAAGTTGTCCAAAATGATTTATAAGAACAGTTTTAACACCTTTGTAGCACTCGAGAAAAATCAATGGAAAAAGAGAATTCATGAAGTGGGCCCCAAATGGTTGGAATCAACTTGAATTCTTAAAAATGAGTATATTGATGCATAAAAGATTAGGATTTTAAAATACAACAAATATAAAATATAGTATGATTTTATGTGGAGGAAAAACTGAGAATTCATAATTCACAAGAAACAAAATTAATTCAACAACTCAATTTCTTAAAATGAAAAAATAAAATATGGTATTATAATTTAAGACCAATTGTCAGTGAAATGATCAAAAACATCCTAAAATTTTAGCAAAATTTTGAAAACAAATAAAATCAACGAGCAAATTAAATTAACTTTTATAAATTTGATTTCTGGTGTACCACTTTTTAATTAAAAAAAAAGTGCTAAATAAGTCAATAGCTTATTATATAGACAAAATAGAACAAGGAACAAAAATTACAACTATGAAAAATCATGCATTCTGATACAGAAGATGATATCACTGTAATTAAGTAGTCTTACTAATATAGCACATCAGGAAGTCCACGATGAAGATCATGAAGAAGCACAAAGAGAGAATCAAACAAAAGGACAAGGATCACTTACAAAAAAACAAGTCAAAACACAAAAGGCCTATGCCCAAAAAGCACAAGAGAATTTGGCATGAAGATAATTGTTTGTCATGGTCTAATTGCATTTGTTTTCAATTTAGAGATTTTCAGAAGTTAATGTTTTAAAAATGCTTCTTAGTGAATCAAAAGTGTTGTATTTTAAGTTGAAGGCTGGTACAATTTAGGTTTATTCTTTTTGCCTTGATGGAGTGACCAGCCACCACACCAATCCAAGGAGACTTGTTAAGTTCACCCCCACTACACTCTCGCCCTCTTTCCCATTTTGATTGGATGTGTACTCAAATAAAGAGGTGGAATGATAATAAAATTGAAGGAATTAACTACCGGGCTCATTGAATAAAGTCAAATCAAACACATTAATATATGGATTAATAAAATAATTTCTTCAAATTTAGATTTGAAGGGATTAGTCTCAATTTATTGAAATTTAGATTTGGAGGGATTAGGGTAAATACATTGCACAATTGTAAATGATCACGCCTTCCTTGCATTCAATTTTTTAAATGTTCTTGATGAAAACCATTTTGGATTCAAACACACCAAGACTATATTATCAAACAAAAATTTCACATACTTCCTATGAACATAAAAAAAAAGCTTATAATTATCATAATTAATAACTAGTTTTTTATGAATATCCTCATATAGATCATGTAAATATTATGCAAATAGATAACATATAGGTTTCTAGGTTGATGCTCTGTAATAATCTCAAATGGACTTTTGCTGTTAGATCTATTGACAAATAAATTAAATGCAAGCTCAGCATATGCTTGTCACATCCCACCCAGATGAACGGTCCTTTATAAGACAACAAAATAGGTTCCTTAAACTTCTATTAACCACTTCAATTTACATATCAATTTTTAAGTAACTCATCGACCAATCTCTTAAGTTTACCATCTTGTATTAAATTCCTCTTGTAATGAGATAAAGTGGACAATGATGACACAAGAATTAAAGTCATAGCATGTTGTATATCCCTCAACGCTGATAATCAATAAGAAATTTATAGGACAAATATATTTAAAAGTACCAAATACTTAATTTAGTTAACTAACATCATCAAGAAAAGTCAAAACTTCAGAGATTACATTATTCCATCCTACAAATGCATACATCACACCCTCTTGTCTACTCTGTTTCTCAAGAGTATGTGTGCTAAATACGCAAAAAAATTTCATTTCATTAAGCGCAGTAGATTCATATAGAGTTACATTTATTCTTACACTTTGCAAGTTTCAAAACTATCCTTCTCTTATTAGTCTTAAAAGCATATGTAGTAACATCAAAATTAAACTAGGAACTACCCCAAATAACATGAATAATGTTCATGGGCAACACCACACACCATATTTTATCAGTGTAGATTGCCATTATAATCAAAATTAAAAACCTTTAGGACTCTAATATATATTTTTAATTGCCAGTGTGGTTCAAATGTCAATCATGCAGTCTAAAGCAAACTTAGAAAGCAATCATATAACTTACACAATTGATTATAAGCTGGAAATGCTTCACTTATGTTAGAAATAGGCTTGAAAAATTACAGTTCTCTACCAATTAGACTTAAACTTACGAGTAGTTAAGATACAATGCCTGATATTCAAAGAATTATAACCTAAAGCATCCTCAAAATAAACTAATCTCTTCAACAAATTCATAAACAACATCTAAATAATTTTAATTTTCTTCAACTTCCACATCTATATGCAATTTCTAATTAGGACACTCACTAACATGATATCTAGTTAATGAAACTTAAAACATACCTTTATGAAAATCATAGGCCCAAATTCAAATGTAGTTGATTTCCTCTCAATTTTCTTAAAATGCGCTGGAGGTAACAAACTAAACATGGTTATTTTTACAAATTGATTCACTCCATGAATACGCAGTAACCCTTCTTAAACAGAAAATTTTAGCATTTATACAAAGTCTAGAGTTGAAAAATAGGCCCAAATGATGGAATATCAATCACCAACTCGATATCATATCACAAACAAGACATAAACCTTAAAATTATGATTTTAAGATCTTTAATGATCTCAAAATGCAATAATAGTTTTCAAATTTATTTGAGTTCAAATAAGACCTTTGGGTTATTGCATTAATGGATAAAATTCATCAAATAAATTATCATGATATGACAAAGGCGCATATTTTTCTGTTAAAAGTTTTCATTTAAGCACATGGTATTTTAAGTTCCTTTCCTACTCTCCCTTTTTGCCTCTCTAAACTCTTCCACTAAAATTCAAACATACCAAATTAATTTCATTTTTACAAATATTGGGAAAGATAAAAAATAAGAAGATTTTAAAAAAAAAAAGTTTAGATATAAAAATTCTGATAATTGGAAAAGATATAAGTTAGATTTTAATGATTGATAAAATATATTAGATATTAAGGAGAGTGAAAGATATGTGCATAAGTTAGCAAAACAAAGATATAGGAATAGTAAGGATTTAGTTCAAATGAAGGGCATCAAGGATGAAGATCAAAAGGTGCTTTTATTAGAAGATGATATTTTAACAAAGGTGGATGAGATATTTTGCTAAACGTTTCAATGAAGATTTAAAAAATACGATTGATTTTAGTGGCCTTAGCATCTTAAATGAAAATAAAGATTTTTATTTTATCAGCGCATTAGTAAAACCGAAGTTAGAGAGGTATTAAAGAAAATGAAGTGTGGAAAGACTGTTGAACCTGATGATATTCTAATAGAAGTGTGGAAATGCTTAGGAGAAGAAGGA